GAATTATCAAATAATAAAATTGCGCCTGAAATATCCTCATAATTATTGTCTTCCAAAACAGAGTTTTCAATGACATTTGAAAAATCTACAAGTAAGAACGAATCGCCTGTCAGTGGGCTATCGACTTTCAATCTAATCTTCTAGGAGTGTAACTCGTTGTATCAACATGTGACTGAAGCTCCATCTACTGACTCATTCAAAGAAAGTTGGATCAACTGAGCGACCACATTGGCTGAACCAGTGTCGGCCACCCAGCCTGCTTCAATTTCCAAACTGAAACTAAAACTGGACCTGGAAATCGTATTCTTATTCTTTTTGTAAACCTGCATTTGACGTTGCAATGGTCTGAAACTACCAGGTTATATGATTCAGGCATCCACAACTAAATGGCTCAAATGGTTGTGGACGGAATAGAAGAAGCTTTCGTTAACACGCTTCCGTGTCTTGTAGAAGGGGATCACCAAATCATCCAGGCAGGAATCTAGGTATCTTAGCAATAAAAGAGGAAAAGAAATTAGTAAATCACAGTGTGATACTATCCTTAATCCTTAAGAATAGATCAAGTTGCCTCTTAAAGGACTCCTGGGAAGTCGCTTGGACTAGCTCGGCCGGCAGCGAATTCCAGCATTTGACAACTCTTAAGGAGTAGAAGTTGTATTTACAGTCCGTCCTGCTATGTTGTGTCTCCAGTTTCTGGGTGTTACCTCTTAGGTTAGTGTTGGAACTAAGCTTAAGTAGGTGTTTAAGAGGATGACGAGAAGTGTTAAACATACTATGAGCCATCAGAAGGTCACCTCTAAGACGTCTATACTCTAATGGGTAAACGTTAAGTGAATGGAGGTGCTCTTCGTAAGGCTTAAATTTCAGTCCTCGAACTGATTTCGTGGCTCGCCGTTGGATACGTTCTAAAGTATCCTTATCCTTTTGGAGTGAGGGGGGAAGTACTATGTTTCCGTACTCTAAATGGGGAAGGATAAAACTATTAAACATTATATGGAAATTTCTTCCGTCAAACTGTCCAAAAGTGCGCTTCAATGTTACCAGTGCAAGGTTTGCTCGGAAGACATTTTTGTCACAGTTAGCGTAAGATTTTAAATCGTAGGGCACCAGGACTCCTAAATCCTTTTCGACTTGGGATGCTACTAGAGAGGGGGTACATAAGTTATATCTGTAGTCTGCGACATGTCGCAGATGGACTACTTTACACTTTGAAGTGTTAAAGGTAAGTCCACTATCGTCTGCCCAACTTTGAAGTCGAGTCAGAACCTCCTGAAGTGCCTGTATATCGTCTTGGTTGCGTATCTCTCTCCAAAGTTTCACGTCATCGGCAAAAAGTAACACTAACACCATTGGATGCCGGCTCAGTGGTCTAATGGTTATGTGCTCAGGCGCGAAGCCAGTAGGTCCTGGGTTCGAATCCCGCGGGGTGCGGGATCGTGGATGCGCACTGCTGAGGAGTCCCATATTAGGACGAAACGGCCGTCCAGTACTTCCAGGTTTCCAACGGTGGTCTAACACCAATTAATTCATGATCTCAACCAGAAACTTAAAAATCTTTAGAACCCCCATACTGAAAAAGTAATAAGTCTGGCGTTACTTGTTGAGAAAAACCATTTATGTAGATCAAGGAGAGAAGAGGTCCTAGTACTGAGCCCTGGAGAACCCCACTAGGACATTCCATAACCTGAGATAAAGTGAAGTTAACTATTAAGCCAATCGATTAGAGGTGGTCTGATACCTAGTCGTTTGAGCTTATTGATAAGACATATATGGTTAACCTTATCAAAATCCTTTGAGAAATCTAGGTAGATGATGTCAACCTTTCCCTTGAGATTGAGGATGCTTGTCCTTCTGTCCACCGCAGTCAGCAGTTTGGTGATACAAGAGTAACCCTTCACGAAATCATGTTGTTGGGGTGGGAAGAAATTTAAGGACAGTAAATACTCTTTTATACCCTCACATATCAGGGACTCCATGATTTTTGAAGGTATGGAGAGAAGAGCCACCGGTCGGTAACTTGAAGGTTCGCTGCGTCGACCTCCTTTGAAAATTGGTGTGATGTGAGCCAACTTCCAATTTTCCGGTAGTTTTCCTCGACTTAGCGAGCGTGAGAACACCACGCTAAGTGGCATTGCCAAAATTGAGACTGCTTCCCTCAGTATGGCAGACTGGACCATAACCGGGCCAGGAGAAGTGTCTAGTCTAAAGTGCTGCAATTTCCGGAACACCAAGTCAGCACTTAGGTTCACTTCGAAGAGTCCTGTGGAATTGCAAATGAAACTATCATCAGTAAAGTTAATGTTGGTCGGTTGAAATGTCTGGGAGTACTATTCAGCCAGAAGGTTAGCGGCGTCGCCATCGTTGTTGGTCGGGCCGTTGAGACCTAGCAGTTGAGAAACTCCAGTTTTGGCTTGACGAAGAGAGGCTGCATAATGGAATAAGCTTTTAGGATTAGAGGCAAATTTGTCCATGAACTTTTTCTGGTACTGAAGCCTGTCTTCTCTTATAGCCTTCGTGCATATGTTCCTGATATGTTTATATTGCCTATACGCTCCGCCGTTATCAGTTCGTTTGTATTCCGCCCAACAGTGCCTTTGCGGCTTAACAGGCGAAGGGTGCGGTTCCTGATTACTGTAGGTGGCTTGCAGCTTTTGGGAACCGTTTGAGGAACTGAATGGTTTGTAGCACATAAGAGCGTGTGCAGTAAGAAGTCCCAATGACCGTCCACATCGAGTTGAGGGTGAACATCCCAAACCACCTGTTGTAGATAGTCATGTAGAGCTGGCACATTCAGCCGTTTAAAATTCCAACGCAAATTATTGTTGGGATACCTTAGCTTAGTTTTGATGACAAAACTGAAGGCTATGACGGCATGATCGCTCTTTCCCAGAGGAGCCAGGATTGAGAGGTTGTTGACTAGGAATTCTTCGTTTGTGAATACACAGTCTAAGCGCGATGGTGTCTGACTGTTTCTCCAACGAGTTGCCGACCTCACATTTTCATATAAGCCCAAGTCATCGATGAGGTTGAAGAACCGAGCTTCAATCGAGTTATCGCCTCCAGTATACGTGTGATCCACGAAGTTGACTCTAGGGAGATTAAAGTCCCCTAGAATCAGGATGTGTGTGAAACCGAGACGAGTAGAGCGGGATAGCCCTTCCAGCATACGACTATCGTACTCGATGTCGGCAGTTGGCTTCCTGTAAATGACTCCGACTAGACACCTCGAAGTAGCAGACAATCTTAAAGAGCCCCATATGGATTCCTCAAGATTGCTAAACTCGAGGTTATGAACTTGATGCACCTCCAAGCAAGAACATATGTATAGGGCTACTCCACCCGCAATTCCTGATTTTCTGTCGTTGCGGAACAAAGACATCCCAGGTAATGCTAACTCTTGGTCCGAGAACTGAGAAGATATATCAGATATCCGATTTCAGCATGTGACTGTCTAGCAAGACGTCCACTACATCGGTAGCATTCTTAAGTGTTACACGAAGTAGCCTCGGGTGATTTACATGCTTAGAATCCTTTCCTCGAGTGAGCCGGGTGACCGTCAAAGGCTCTCTTCTGGGAAGTTTGCGCTTCTTGTTCAGTTCACCCCGGAGCATCCTATCATTTTTGTCCTAAAGACTGAGAGGACGGTCAGGATTGTCAATGAGATTCATGTTTATGAGAGAATCGTCACGAACTATTGTTGATTTACCAGGTTTCCCGATGGGTTCAGGTTTAATACCTTGTTGTTTTGAGGTCAAGGCACGTTTTTGAATTTTGGGCTCTTTGATGTTCGGACGAACATTCTTGGGAGTAGACTGTGCGACCAAATCACCAGTTGTTTTCCGTACAACAACACTTGGGATGCTCAGCTTAGGCGGTGACACCTGGTTCTTTTGGGCTCCGCTAACGTGGGTCGAATCGCCTACAGGGTTTTTGGGAACCACTGTTGTGTTCAGGGACCCTGAGCTGGGAGACCCGAGTTTACTTAGGGTGTCAAATACCGTCGACGTAATGATGGTGCTGAGCTTCATCATTAGTGCTTATGGATTCTCCATCGATGGTATACCTGTCGACATCCCTAATCTTGTGCTCATTGCGCGGTCTTGTTTGTTTGCCCGTTTTTTATTGTCGTTATCCCAGTTCGCTGATAAATTGTTGCGCAGACCTGTCAGTAGGACGATGATGTTACTCAGCAAAACTACAGCGTCCGTGCTGCGCGTGACACTATCCACTTTAGGTCCGACTTGCTGAGTCTGTTGTAAGCAGTTGCCGTCAGATCTGTGCACACTTCGTGGAACCAACCTTTGTAGTTGTCGCACTGCATGCCAGTTGTAACAGCAAAACGGCATCCCGGACGTTTGCATGAGTTTTTCATGACTATGTTGAAGCAAACTATGTTATAGATGCTTAGAAAAGCCTAAGACCGTAAAAATAGACTAAAAAGCACACTGAAAACGAACAAAAATGGATAAAAACGGATGAAAACGAGTGAGATAAACTGAACTAGTCTTTACGTGAAGAACAAAAAACCGAATAGTAAGTTGAGGCAAAACCACAGTTAACTATTAAACATGGTGAAACTCAAAAAAAGTAATCTACCGAACGTATAGCTCAGGATAGATTCTTTCGGTCAGAAATGGTACATTTGTTGCGTAAGAACATAGCAAAAGTTTGATAAATGCAAATCACGTTAGGACTAAACTTCCCATTCGAGAAGCGCGACAAGTTACACATACAATTCAGGTAATTCCTCACTAGAAGTTTCCCAAGTTGGAGAAGATATGGGAATCTCGATGCTCTGTGAAATAAACTGTGACGAAAATACTTTCCATGCGAAGCTTCCACTGGTACCGTTGAAGCTCATTTTCGGTTAGTTTGATAGTGGGACATTCCACCGAATCTTTAGTAGTTTTATTCAGTCCTATTTAGAGTGTGGAGATTTTGCGTTTTCTTACTTACTTCAAATTAATAAGAATACATTGGGATCTGTCCAAAGGTGAGCCATGAATTCCGTTTGAGGACAAAATTGAAACAGAAGTATGCTTTGTCCATTTTCGGTGAATGAGGTAATTCTTGCAGGCGGGACGTTTGGTAAAGAAGCTACAACTGCCAAGGCGTCATAATCCCTACTTAGATTGTAAGGTTCTTGCTTTTCTCCTTAACCGTGATTTATTTCCGCTAAAAGACGGCTTTTGTAAGGTTAAATTTGAAGTATGGTCTCCAGACACCTTGTTTCAGGTCTGCAGCTCTCGACCGTTCGTGGGGCTGCGATGTAACACGCATATCACTTAATTTTATTTGAAATGGGTTCAATGTGGTCTTAGACAGGTCTTGCATGATTGAAACACTGTAGTTTCAGGTGAAAAATGCACATAAATATAGAATCCAGCGTATTTGCAAGTCAGTTCTGTGACCTAATGATCGCATGTTTCAATACTGATTCACAGTTCAGTGTAACGTGTTAATATTATTTCTGTGTTCTTTGGTTCAGATTTGTGCATGTACACCTCTATACGTCGCCTTTTCGTCTCACACTGACGGTCATAAAGCAACCTACTAAACATACCGAAAAGAGAAGTTAGAGAGACATTCCTTGACAAAAATTAGGCGTGATAATTAGGAAATGCGACAGGAAGTCTCTTTTCTCATAAGATAGTGAAAAGAAAGTTTTCGTATTGTCATTGGTTTGGAGTGTCGCTGGACTTACAAAGGATTTGTCTACTTTTTACCTAAATGTACGCGATCTCGGAAACTTGTTGGTTTGTTTTCTGTCGCTCGAAAAGTTTATTTAGACTCTTAATATAGCAGTTAAAACGAACTGTTAGTAAAACTGTTGTAACAACAAGTTATTCGGAGTCAAAATGGTGACTCGGTCTTCCGAGCGAATTCCGAAAAGTAGACCCAGTTCGCATCCACTTCGTCAGGAACTTTGTATAAAGAAACCTTGTCTAGTTAGCAAAATGCTTAGGAATTAAGGAAGTTCTGTTGTGACACCACGCTGTAAAGATGGCACGGAACGTAGGCAGAATTACGTAAAACACTACTTTTCATGTAGGTTTATTAGAGATTCGTCACTTCTTCCTTTCAGTAACTTTTAATTAAATAACATCATTACTAACAATAGACGATAGGCATCGTCGCGTGGCACATTCAAGTCTTTCGATTATGGTGGTAAATTTTTTATCCTGCTGGTCTATTTACTAGCTGGTCAAGTAAGGGTATAAAAATTCCATAGTCGCTTAGCGTCCCTCAAGGAGGCCGCTATTACGAAGGCTCATTTCTCCTAATCTTGTCACCTTGGTTCAGTAACGTGGTGCTTAAAGCTCTAGACTTTCAACTATTGGGTTACATTAAAACCTTGCCTGAACTATTTAACTCTGAACATATGGGTGATATTAGCAGTCACTCAGTCAGCTACAAAGTAGGACCAGGCATATATATGCATCTATCCAAGTTGCCATACTTCATTAGCACAACAAGATGAACACCGAATTCATAGTAGTTAGTTCACTGGTAATAATATATAAAAGCCCGACCGAAGCCGCTACCTTGACGCGGTGGTTGGGCTTGCCTATCGTGATGAACCAACCGAGCTATATTGGCTGGAACATATGTTCCTGTAGGTTCTACCATGCCAGGCAAGTTGATTGGAGAACGGTAAGACTAAAAGCAGCAACTCAAGGCCTGAGGGCGAAGTCGTACTGCTGACTGTAGAGAGGTGTGACAGCAGCAAGGTGTTTCCCTCAGACAACCAGCATCTGCAGCGGTGCTGCCTTCCCACAAGGAGGGGTGGGGTTAGAAAAGGTCGACCCTAAAAATGTCACACCTCACCTTACCTCACGGATTTCCGTCTCCGGCGGTAAGGTCTCAACAAGTACGGAGCTAACACGTCGAAAAGCTCCCACGAAAAGGCCGTGCGCAATCAGCCTCAAGCAGTTGTCCCTTGGGCTCTGCGGTCACGCTCTCAGGTCACTAAGACCACCTCTAATCCAATTTCCTTTTCAGGTACCTCTAGAAGAACTCTTCCACGGTGTGGGCAACCGGGAAGTGATAACCGCCCTCATACCTCTAACAGCACTCAAGACCACTGTATTCATAATCAACCTCCCTCTTTAATTCCTATTATTCCGTCTACATCGACTTTCAACTCTAAATTTCTTCTTTCGGCTTCCACCTTAAGTGTCACCATAGCCAACGATTCTAGTGTTCAAAACACTGTCCCAGGTCTACTGAAACCTCGCTCCACACTACACATTGGAGCCTTCAACGTACAAACACTACGTCAAATCCGTCAGCAGGCTTCCTTGGCTAAAACCCTAGAGTCTCTTACCATTGATGTATGCTGTGTCTCCGAAACACGCATACAAGATTCCAGTGTGGTCATTCACTTGACGTCACCTCGTCAAAGCGGAGAGCCAACGAGATACGCCCTCTGTGTATCTGGTGACCCGATGGCCAGTTCTCGTGGACTGGCAGGTGTAGGCATAGCACTAAGCATGAGGGCCGAACAAGCACTGCTAGATTGGATCCTCGTCAGCAGTCGTCTATGTGCTGTTCAGCTAAACGGCTACGTAAGAACTCGGAAGGATAGGGACACACGTCGTTGCCTTTTTATCGTTTCTGCCTACGCTCCCACTGACTGCAGCTCAGATGAAGTGAAAGATGAATTTTACAGAAAGCTGTCCGAACTTCTGCAGAAAGCTAAACGCTCAGAAATAGTACTCGTAGGGGGTGACTTTAATGCCCAGATAGGTAGTTTAAACCAAACAGAAAGGCATTTAGGTGGATATTTTAGTATCCCGGCTCAGCGAACAGATAATGGTGATCGTCTGCTGCAACTATGCTCAGGCAATCGTTTATTTTTAGCAAACAAATTTTAAGCATAAGGAGAGACATCGTCTAACATGGCGACCCCCTACACCAAACCAACGATGGACTCAAATAGACCATATTGCCATCAGCCATCGTTGGAGAGGGTCGGTAGAAGATTGTCGCTCATTCTGGAGTACCTGCTTGGACTCCGACCATGCCCTAATGCAGGCACGCATCTGCTTGCGCCTCACTGGACGCAAAAAAGCCACATTAAAAAGACCCATTAGAACTGAGTTGAGTAACGAAAAAACCAAAAGTAGGTTCCAGGAACAACTGACGTCACACTTAGGAAGTTCTGAAAATGAGGCTGACCCAGATGTTGCTTGGAAAGCTATACAAACAGCTGTGGAAACAGCAGTGACATCTATTAGTGACTTGAACCACAGAGTTGCAAGGAACCAGTGGATTTCTTCAAGGTCTATCACATTGATGGATTCTCGCAAACTCGTCCCATCAGGTTCTGAACATGATGAAGAGCGTAAACAAATCAGATCTAGGTTAAGAAAAAGTCTGAGGAACGACCGTAAGCAGTGGTGGGTAACGAAAGCAAGAGATGGAAAAGGCGGCGGCTATAGGGAACACAAGACAGCTTTACAGACTAATAAAAGAAACTGGAATCAATAAGTCAAGTGTAAGTGAGATTATTTCGGAAAAAGACGATACTCTCATCTGCTCCCAGTCCAGACGTTTAGAACGATGGGCGGAACATTGAGTGAACAGTTCAACTGGCCTTCAGCTACTCTACAACTACCCTCCATTCCCAGACAATGTGAATGAAGCATTGAAGTAGGACCCCCAACTCTTGCTGAAGTTGAGAAGGCTATAGTTAATCTGAAACGAGGAAAGGCAGATGGATTGGCTCCAGAAGTCTTTAAGGATGGTGGTCCAATTTTAGCGATTAGGTTGACTAATATTTTAGCTAAGATCTGGGAGTCAGACGTTATCCCATCTGACTGGTCACAATCACTTATCGTCTCAATATATTAGAAACGGTCAAAATCATCCTGTGACAACCACAGATTAGTTTAACAAATATAGTATCTAAAATACTAGCCTCGATAATTATCAGACGCCTAACTAAGACTCGTGAACTGCAAACACGAGAGAACCAAGCTGGCTTCAGACCTGGTCGTGGCTGCTTCGACCACATATCATTTGTCAGGTCCTAGAACATAGGCATACTTACCGGCGTCCGACAATGGTGGTCTTTCTCGACTTGAAAGCAGCATTTGACTCTGTAGACCGCGAGATTCTGTTGCAGTGTCTGTCATTGAAAGGCGTACCACAGAAGTACATAAACCTTGTAAAGGCTCTTTACTCGAACACTACTAGTCGAGTCAGGGCTTATGGCGAACTGTCATCTACTTTTGCAACCTCAAGTGGTGTCCGTCAAGGCTGTCCACTTTCCCCATTTTTGTTTAACTTCATCATAGATCTACTAATGGAAATAACCTCGTCGACTGAGTTCTCGGGTATTGATCTCCTACCAGTAGGTCCACTTATCGACTTAGAACACGCAGATGACATAGTCCTGTTTAGTGAAGACGCTGATAGAATGCTGAGTCTTCTGGTAGCACTAAGCAACAATGCCAGAATGTTTGGAATGCGTTTCTCTCCCTCTTAATGCAAGTTTTTGCTTCAGGACTGGTCTGCATCAACATCTGAACTAAGGATAGGGAGTGAAGTAGTCGAACGCGTTGACAACTTCACTTATCTTGGAAGTCTGATCAGCCCTAATGGGTTGGTATCGGACGAAATCTCAGCACGGATTCGAAAAGCTCGTTTGGCTTTTGTTAACTTACGTCACTTGTGGCGAAGGCGAGATATCAGTCTATCAATTAAGGGACGAGTATACTGCGCGGCAGTCCGTTCTGTTTTACTTTACGGCAGCGAAACATGGCCATTAAGAGTAGAGGACACTCGTAAGCTACTAGTATTTGACCACAGATGCCTTAGAAATATTGCTGGCGTCTGCTGGGATCACCGGGTAAGTAATAGTGAGGTTAGACGCAGGGTATTAGGGAACGATGGTAAATCAGTTGATGAGTTTGTTAATCTTCATCGACTGAGATGGTTGGGTCACGTGTTACGTATGCCCGAATACCGATTACCACGACGTGCAATGCTAACCGGTGTTGGGGATGGTTGGAAGAAGGTTAGGGGCGGCCAAACCAAAACGTGGCATCAGTGCTTGAAGTCACTAACTTCTAGTCTGAGCCATGTTGGGAGATGCCGACTACTTTGCTGGGGTCCGCGAAACTATCGTAACCAATGGTTGGAGACTATTGGTGATATGGCTCAGAATCGGTCACAATGGCGTAGGTGTATACACTCTTTGTCTTCCTTTAAACTATGAGATTAAAATCGCTTCATATCTTTCTTTCTACGAATTAATTCTTTCTTCCTGTACTATGTCCTTATATGCAATCTTTGTTTTGTATATTATCACCACTGAGTTAACTGCTTCTATGAATTTAGTGTTCATCTTGTTGTGTTAATGAGGTATGACAACCTGGACCGATGCATATATGTGCCTGGTCCTACGTTGTAGCTGACTGACTGACTGACTGCATCTGGAGGTACAATCTAATCGTATCTAAACTCATGACTTTCCTGTTTATGTACGTTATTCAAACATTAAGCCTAGATGTACTTGTTTTAAGTCAAATAAGTTACGGCATTTATCTAGTCACTTTTGGGACCTGGATATCCGTAGTAAGTGGTGACGAAATGCAGTTCGCATCTGACTTCTCTGGACCTTATCCACAGACCGAAATCCAATATTAGGTATTTTTGTCGTGTGCTCAATTAGACGATTTGCTAACACTCAGAAAGCGAGAAAACTTTTGGCAGAATTCCCTTTTCTTTCATCTAAAGTGTAACAAATGAGGATGTAATTGGAGATTATGACCAAACTATGATGTTTATTCTTACACTAATGTTTTGTCAGTTAACCCAATAGGACAGCACGCTAACAACTTTACCCCTGGAATTGAGTCAACGAGTTTCCGTTTGGCTGTTGAACTCGTTGTTATACATACATCTGATGTTCTACGGGTTGCTGTAGGTCTTCAGGTATGTGAATAGCTAATCTCAGTTTCTGAGGTGAGATCAAATAAATGGCCATACCTGGATTTATGTACAAATTTAAAATACAGCGTAAATGCATTGGATTATATAGTTTCAACCCATGATCCCTGTTGTTTGGCTGCACATATGGTTCAAACACTAAGCACAGCATGTTGACTGTCACACGGTTTTAGAAAACTCAGAGTAACATATTTTTCTGCTCGAGTCGTTTTATTTTTAAACGGAGGGTATAGTTGCAAGATAGTTGCTAGAGGCAGTCGACAGAAAACCCTAAACCTAGGTTTTATGCCATTGGGCACTCGTTACCAAGGTGTACATGTAAATTTAAGGTAACTTACGCTACTGGCAGATCCGATCCCGTGTTACCCAGCCATGCAGTCACATAAGCTATGGTTTTTTTACTAATCGCCTTAAATTTCTTATCCGGTGACAGGGTTTAACGACTTCAAGCCAGTTTAGCGTGACAGAACGCATTAGGTGAAGTATGTGGTTAGTAGATTAAGGGAGTGTCCAGTAAGTGAACTTTCATTTTATTCATTATTTTTGTTGTTATGAATGTATGAGATATAACAGTGACTCGGTACTCAAACTGAATCACATGAGTTTCATGGAAGACCACCTGTCAGCCTCGAAGGTATATAAAGACCAAATTTTCGGGAATCGAGATTTATTTTTAGTAGAGAATGTATCAACTACACTCTTAAGATATCCCCGTACTCCTGGCTATTCATCTAAACCGTTTATAAATGGATTTTCATCAACATATTGTCATGCTTTGTTTAGTATGATCATTAATCATTCAAAGTGGTTTCAAGTCACTTGTCTTTTCAATGAAATCTGTTTTGTGCATATAATTCCGTCTCTGTACTGAATCATTAAATTTTAAATAATACACAAGAAAATGTCCGGGCCGCTCCATATAGATTTTAGTCAGATAATCGTACTAATTAATGGTGATAACCAGATATTTTATACAACTCTTTTCTGTTATGTTCCTAGATATAGGTTATGGTCATCAAGAAGAAAATATCATTGAAGATTATTGTAATCGGAGATAGTGGGTATGTTTCATTTTGAACATTAGTGTTTAGTGTGCGAGTGTTGGGAAAACGTCTTTGATAACCCAATACATCGATAAGAAGTTCAGTAATCAGTACAAAGCTACAATCGGTGCAGACTTTTTTACAAAACAAGAGGTTTTTGATGACCGTCTTGTAACAATGCAGATTTGGGATACTGCTGGCCAGGAAAGGTTCCAGTCTCTCGGAGTTGCGTTTTATCGTGGTGCTGATTGTTGCGTCCTCGTCTATGATGTTACTATGACAAGTACCTTTAAAACACTAGATTCGTGGAGAGATGAATTTTTGGTGCAATCAAGCCCTCGTAATCCCGAAAAGTTTCCATTTATTGTTATTGGGAATAAATGTGATTTAGATAATAGAGCTGTAAGTGTTTTGTTAACTTTTGTTACTGTGTATTTGCATTTGAAGCTAGTAGAGTCATTACATAACCTCACATGTATTCATGACCTTTGATAAAATATTTCGCCATTCCTAGTGTAAATCTACCACAAGATGATGTTTTGGTGTATCTAATCTGTTTTTATTATCCATATGTATATACTTCGAATTCCATGACGTTCTCACCTATCTAGAAAAGTTATTTGATCGAGGTACTGAAATCACTGTCAATAATCATTCTCTATATTTATGTTAAGCTTAGATCGATATTAAAAAGGTGACTTTTTCCTAATGTTTTGCTAAAAAATAACGAATTTTGTTGCGCAAAATAGTGGGAACTAATTGTACTTCGGCGTGAGATTATTGAGCTCACGTTTTGATGGAATTATAATGACATGTTTACATTTTTGTGGTCTGGAATTTGTAATTTCGTTTTTCTGATTCAAATTTTTGCTATTAAGTATTGAGTTATGATTGTCTTATCTATTCGAGGGTGGTTCGCTAAATATTTTCTTCGCGAGACTCTAATTTAGGGACGATCTTTGAATGAATCTTAAGTGATCTTGACAATTATTAGCCAATCAGAAAAAAGTTAGTATAAAGTGAAAATATATTATATGAAAGTAATGGATTACAGTGGATATTCTCCTTTTACATGATTTAAAAACTTGTTAAGGTTTGATTAAGGTTCAGAGGTTCTGAATTCACAATGCATATGGAATAGAAACTCGTCCACAGGGTTAGGGTTATGGTTAGGTTTACGGGTAAGGTTAGGGTTAGGTTAGGGTTTAGGTTAGGTTAGGGTTTAGGGTTAGGATTAGGGTGCTAACATACGCTTAGGGTTAGGGTTAAGGTTAGGGTTAGTTGAGTGTTAAGGTTTAGGGTTTGGGTTAGGTGAGGGTTAGAGTTTAGGATTAAGGTTAGGGTTAGGATGCTAACATACGAGTTTTTAAATCATGTAAAAGAAGAATATCCACTGTAATTCATTACTTTCTTTTAATATATTTCTACTTTATGCTGTCTTCTGATTGGCTAATAATTGAAATTGCTCAAACGCTTCTGATTGCCTCGTCCCTAAATTAGATTCTCGTCGTCCTATCTGTTGTAACCTCCCATTAATCACCTACTCTCTAAAATCCGCTGTGAACCGATCGTATGTTAGCATCGCGTGTTGAACTTGGCTCCGTGACCTTGAAATTTCTCAAACGCTTCTGATTGGCTCGTCCCTAAATTAGAGTCTCGCCTTTTCTTCATTCAGATATTACCATTATTTCATATGGGATTTCTTGTCAGTGGACTAATTTCGAAAATTTTAGTATTCCATGTAAAATCATGCACTTAAATACTGCTCATTCGAGTCAGCTGTGTAAGAGCTTTCTTATTGATAAGATATAGTATCTGTGGTAAATTTATCTTTAACAATCTTAGGAATCCAAGTGTCAGTGAGTTACAAACAGAAATGATTACCAAGCATCGACGTATTGATAAAATATTACATCCAGCATATTAGCATCACATAAGTTCTTATTCTGTCTGTCGAGTTTGCGTTTTATCACTTTCATGCTCACATCAGCTAAACTGAATAAACCACCTGGGTCAGTAAATTTGAAAATAACTGGAAAATTTACACCATTAGAAGGGATGGTCGATTTTATAGTAACTCAGTAATAATCTCTTCGGTTTAAAAATGTAGTTAGTTGTAAGTGGCAAATGAAATGTGTGAAAACACTGAACGTTAATTCGATTTTATACCGCTATTAATCTAGTCATCAAAATTTAATTTTTCTATTCAAAGATTGACGTATTTTTATCCCAGTTTTTTTTCAGATTACTCGTTTGTTTTCGAGAAAATAATGCCCATTTTTACTTCTTTTAGGAAAGTTAACTTTTAAAGAATATGGAGTGTAGCTTTTTGCATACTTAATCGGCTTTAGAAATATACAAGCTCTCTTTATTTTTATTAAATTAATTATTCATCAACTATTTAGTCGTACTTATGCAACACCTTTCGGTTGTGATTCATTGCTATGAGGAACTCTATCGATGTATGCTTATTATTACTCAATAATAGAAATTTAGGTAGGCCGAATGAGGATTACCATCCTTCTAATTTTGAACTACTTTAACTTAGTTTGCACTGCTTAACATTCACAACCGAATTTGTGTTTACAAACTTCCCGTTTTAACAAAATCTTCCAGAGGTCACTTCAGTTACATTTTATGGTTGGATTTTTATGATAAACTGGTTGATTGATGTAAATTTTTCCTCACAAGTAACTCACTCTCTATGACTTTTGTCTCACTTGACAAGATATCTAATATCATTGTTCTCCTCTCAAAAAATAGTTGCTGCACAATTTTAGACATGTTTCGTATCTTAATTGGTAAGTGTACGTTTTTCTCATTTTATGTAGGTATCTGAAAATCGTGCAAAGCAATGGTGTCAGGCAAATGGTAACCTTCCATATTTTGAATGTAGTGCTAAAGAAAATACAAATGTTGAGAAAGCTTTTGCTCATATTATAAGAGTCGCCATAGACGAAGAGTCTGCGGTGAGTTTTCCCTTTTTATCGTAAGATTAATTGATAACTATTTTGTCTTGTTAAACAACATTGTTCATTTAGATTATTGTCAGCTATGGCCTGTTTACTAGTGCACTGTTTTTATCTGACATGTGTAAAGCTTTTTACTCTTCTGTATGTCGACTCTATTAAATAAATATCCAGTGTTTGGAATTTCCACCTGAAGTTACAAAGTTAGTAGGAATGTACTCTTGAGTTGAAAAACGAAAACATTGTGATTTATGACTGTTAATCGTGTGCTAACGCCACGTGGTAAATTTGCATCAGCCGTTTCAGCTTTGGACTAATATGTAACTTTCCAATATAATTATTATCAGTTTTGTATAAGGAGTAGCTACATATCTTACCGTGTCCACAAGTTATCCAAGTTCGGCAGCGGGGCATAGACTAAACTAAAGCATGCTCAATGCATGATTGCTTTGGTGCACGCTGATTGGCTAATTCTTATCCAATCAGCGCTAGTCGATAGTTGGAGAATATTCTGGATTCTTCTTATGTAAAAACTATAAATATACCGATTTTCCGCAGCCTAACCTAAACCTTATATATACGTGTCGATATACTCCATTTAGTCTGATATTACTAATTTCGATCACATGAAATTGTTGGTCTTTTGAATACTATAAACTTTGGAATATTTTAGGTGAATAATACCAAATTGCATATATTATAGAAAATACTAACTGAAAATCAATATTTTAAGCTTATTTTTTCTATGAAAGAAACTAATCTCTGTAAAGGCAAGTTTTGTGTATGAGTTTAGTAAATCAATATTATGAACTATTCGCTTTCATATTTCGCAACTTAGTTACATGTTTTAAATTAAGTAAGGGTTTAAGATGATCAATTTTCGGATTCCAGTTGCAGTATGGTTTAAAAAAAGACATATTTGATCTCTTAATCACATCAATCCATACATCAGTCACGTTTAGCAATAACGAGCTAAACTAGCTTGTGTTTATGTCATTTAAGTTACAATTATTGATTAAATCATATCTATCCATCACCAGTCAGTTATGATCAAATTTTTGTTATTCGGTTGAATATTTATTAGTTTAAGCACCATTTATTATTGAATCACATATTTTAAGTATTCCACAAATGGAGTTTTTATTTTTAAAGGTTCAACTGGGCTAGACGTACACTTTATACTTTTATTATCAAAACAGTATTGGGTTTTTTTAACCAATATTTTACGTGCGTATATGTCATATGTAACTCGTGCTATTGATTTGTATGCTAATAGTTGTGCAGATTATTGAATTTAGTTAACTTTTAAAGACTCTTCTAGTTTTGGTCGCCTACATTAGAATGTCTGCCAATGTATTTACTTTATTATTTGTTTCCTTCAGTTTGTAAGTCTTGAGATAAGCCAAATCAGTGACCATGTATCAGCGCCTTCGGTCCATAGTGCTGATGTTATTTTATTGAACAAGGAATGCTGTGTGACTGATCGACCAACCTAAAACTATGGAAACATAGTGAGTTTGTTAAAAAAAGTGTATAAAGTTGGTTGATATTCGCCAACCGAGTGAATCTGCAGTGTCAGACACGTGTTCTATGGTGCTTTGATTGGAAACGTCTTAAGAGAAAATTCACCCTTAAAAATTACACATTGAACGTTATCTTTACTGTACCAAGCGACTTTAATCATAGTTTTTTTTAAATTCTGTACAACCTGTGAACGTTTTAAACCAATAATTTTTATAAATAGTAGCTTAGGCTTCACTGTATCCTACTTCTGTTGTCTTAAATATTTTAAAAAACCCTTGACAGTTTCTCCATAATTTTTTTAACCTAATCCAGCTATTTCGTATCAAAAGGGAATTTATTCTCAGTTTACTGTGTCATTATCTCATTTTCGTGATCATGCACATAGGTACATAGTTGCTAGTTAACGGTTAATACAAATGTGTTCAACTTTTAAAAAGTTATTACTTGTGCATCTTATTAATGAGACCAAATCGGTTGTTCTATGTTTGTTGTCACAAAATTGCGGTGCTGTTATCGGCTGACTTTTTACTTTATCACTCGGTAAAGTTCAAGGAAAAGAAAAGAAAAGTTCGATACATTTGTCGTATCCATTTCTTAAAAAGGTTTGGATTTTGTATCACCAACTATTTCAGTCGCACTTGCCATTAATCTGACAGATTATCTAAAACGTCAAACTGAGATGTGATATGATGTATCGACTAAGTTGATTGCATTTCAAACTATCATGTCACAAGAAATCAAGAAGGAAACCGAGTAAGATAAATAAACTCCCTTAGGAAAGTAGAAATATCCCACTATCTGTTAAATGTAGAATAAACCCATTTGTGTTAATGCAACTGATTAATAACTGTTAATTATATATTTAATCACTAATTTAGACTCCCTTTTTAATTCGCACTGTGAAACAAACTGTCCCACATATACTTGGGCATTTGACTACTGACCAATCTTTTTTTATTAGGTTACATAACTTCCCTGCTATCTAACCCATCACCATAATTTATTAAATATTAGCTTCTGTAGTAACCCTACACCTTACTAGAACTTAATAACAACAAACCTGAGATGAGGAAATGGGTTTAAATCATGACCACTAAATTTAGCGTCAAATATGCCCTAATTGATCGGTTTTGAATTGTAGGCATACTTACCGATACCTGGCCGTAGTCGTATTCTTTTACCTAAGAATGCATTCGATTCTGACTGACGGTAATCGAAACGCGCAGCAAAAAATGTGTAGTGAAGATGTTGTAATTGAGTACTATTGATCAGTTTAAGAACACCAAATTGTTCTGAACCAATTATATCAGGCGAAATTTAACTGGACTGCCCATACTCTTCACTTTTGCTTAGTTCTGTTATGCACATACTTTTAGAGATAATAATTTCCTATCTAACTTCATTAATTCATCTCCCAACAGGAGACGATGGTCGACTAAATGCATTCAGAAAACATTTCCTTCCCTGTAAATACGGAACGCTGTTTCAATTACTGGTCTACATCAATACCTAAAGTAGCTGAGCTTTTTAGGCATTTCAATTATTGCATAAGTTTCATTAATACTAAGGTTTTGGGGCTAATGAAATCTCAACATACTTAACGCTTTCTACTCCAAATATAGGTTAAACAGGTCTTCCAGCTAAATTTTTAATAAGTACATTCGAACGTAGACATCTCTTTCAAAATGTATGTGCATATCTCAAGAAGAACTTTTTCTTCCAGTTCTATCACTGTCCAGTAGTTATATTATATGTTGATAATCTGATATATGAAGCCACCAAGTCAAGTTTTTAACGAAATTTAATATTGATACTCATAAACATTGGCTATTTCTACTACTAATTTTATTGTCATCCTTGTGGATATATACATTGTAGTCCAGTTCATGTAAGGGACAATTTACTTGGGAATTGATTTTATTTATTTTATTTCAGAAGCCATAAAGTACATGTAGCGTGTTTTCATCTTATTCAAGATAATTAAAATCGCTTAAATTCTTTTTTCTGTACAATTCAATCGTATCTGCACTATATAATTGTAATAAGTTGTTAATATGTGCTATTCAACCAGTTTAATCAAAATCTGAATTGTCATTTCCTTCAGTATTGTTATAGAAACTTATTTTAGCGCTATGCAGTCAGTCAGTCAGTCAGCTACAACGTAGGACCAAGCACATATGTGCATCGGTCCAGGTTGCCATACCGCGTCAGCACAACAAGATGAACACCGGATTCATAGCAGTGGTTAGGTCAAAGGTAGTAATATGTAAGAGAAAGATTACATATAGAGATATAATACAAGAAGAAAAAATTAGTTCGTAGAAAGAAAGATATGAAGCGATTTTAATCTCTTAGTTTAAGGGAAGACAGGGAGTTTATACACCGACGCCATTGTGATCGATTCTGAGCCATATCACCAATAGTCTCCAACCATTGGTTACGATAGTTTCGCGGACCCCAGCAAAGTAGTCGGCATCTCCCAACATGGCTCAGACTAGAAGTTAGTGACTTCAAGCACTGATGCCACGTTTTGGTTTGGCCGCCCCTAACCTTCTTCCAACCATCCCCAACACCGGTTAGCATTGCACGTCGTGGTAATCGGTATTCGGGCATACGTAACACGTGACCCAACCATCTCAGTCGATGAAGATTAACAAACTCATCAACTGATTTACCATCATTCCCTAATACCCTGCGTCTAACCTCACTATTACTTACCCGGTGATCCCAGCAGACGCCAGCAATATTTCTAAGGCATCTGTGGTCAAATACTAATAGCTTACGAGTGCCTTTTACTCTTAATGGCCATGTTTCGCTGCCGTAAATTAAAACAGAACGGACTGCCGCGCAGTATACCCGTCCTTTTATTGATAGACGGATATCTCGCCTTCGCCAAAAGTGACGCAAGTTGGCAAAAGCCAAGCGAGCTTTTCGAATCCGTGCTGAGATTTCGTCCGATATCAACCCATTAGGGCTGATCAGACTTCCAAGATAAGTGAAGTTGTCAACGCGTTCGACTACTTCACTCCCTATCCTTAGTTCAGATGTTGATGCAGACCAGTCCTGAAGCAAAAACTTGCATTAAGAGGGAGAGAAACGCATTCCAAACATTCTGGCATTGTTGCTTAGTGCTACCAGAAGACTCAGCATTCTATCAGCGTCTTCACTAAACAGGACTATGTCATCTGCGTGTTCTAAGTCGATAAGTGGACCTACTGGTAGGAGATCAATACCCGAGAACTCAGTCGACGAGGTTATTTCCATTAGTAGATCTATGATGAAGTTAAACAAAAATGGGGAAAGTGGACAGCCTTGACGGACACCACTTGAGGTTGCAAAAGTAGATGACAGTTCGCCATAAGCCCTGACTCGACTAGTAGTGTTCGAGTAAAGAGCCTTTACAAGGTTTATGTACTTCTGTGGTACGCCTTTCAATGACAGACACTGCAACAGAATCTCGCGGTCTACAGAGTCAAATGCTGCTTTCAAGTCGAGAAAGACCACCATTGTCGGACGCCGGTAAGTATGCCTATGTTCTAGGACCTGACAAATGATATGTGGTCGAAGCAGCCACGACCAGGTCTGAAGCCAGCTTGGTTCTCTCGTGTTTGCAGTTCACGAGTCTTAGTTAGGCGTCTGATAATTATCGAGGCTAGTATTTTAGATACTATATTTGTTAAACTAATCTGTGGTTGTCACAGGATGATTTTGACCGTTTCTAATATATTGAGACGATAAGTGATTGTGACCAGTCAGATGGAATGACGTCTAACTCCCAGATCTTAGCTAAAATATTAGTCAACCTAATCGCTAAAATTGGACCATCATCCTTAAAGACCTCTGGAGCCAATCCATCTGCCGTTCCTCGTTTCAGATTAACTATAGCCTTCTCAACTTCAGCAAGAGTTGGGGGTCCTACTTCAATGCTTCATTCACATTGTCTGGGAATGGAGGGTAGTTGTAGAGTAGCTGAAGGCCAGTTGAACTGTTCACTCAATGTTCCGCCCATCGTTCTAAACGTCTGGACTGGGAGCAGATGAGAGTATCGTCTTTTTCCGAAATAATCTCACTTACACTTGACTTATTGATTCCAGTTTCTTTTATTAGTCTGTAAAGCTGTCTTGTGTTCCCTATAGCCGCCGCCTTTTCCATCTCTTGCTTTCGTTACCCACCACTGCTTACGGTCGTTCCTCAGACTTTTTCTTAACCTAGATCTGATTTGTTTACGCTCTTCATCATGTTCAGAACCTGATGGGACGAGTTTGCGAGAATCCATCAGTGTGATAGACTTTGAAATCCACTGGTTCTTTGTAACTCTGTGGTTTAAGTCGCTAGTAGATGTCACTGCTGTTTCCACAGCTGATTGTATGTCTTTTCAAGCAACACCTGGGTCAGCCTCGTCTTCAGAACTTCCTAAGTGTGACGTCAGTTGTTCCTGGAACCTACTTTTGGTTTTTTCGTTACTCAACTCAGTTCTAATGGGTCTTTTTAATGTGGCTTTTTTGCGTCCAGTGAGGCGCAAGCAGATGCGTGCCTGCATTAGGGCATGGTCGGAGTCCAAGCAGGTACTCCAGAATGAGCGACAATCTTCTACTGACCCTCTCCAACGATGGCTGATGGTAATATGGTCTATTTGAGTCCATCGTTGGTTTGGTGTAGGGGGTCGCCATGTTAGACGATGTCTCTCCTTATGCTTAAAATTTGTGTTTGCTAAAAATAAGCGATTGTCTGAGCATAGTTGCAGCAGACGATCACCATTATCTGTTCGCTGTGCCGGAATACTAAAATATCCACCTAAATGCCTTTCTGTTTGGTTTAAACTACCTATCTGGGCATTAAAGTCACCCCCTACGAGTACTATTTCTGAGCGTTTAGCTTTCTGCAGAAGTTCGGACAGCTTTCTGTAAAATTCATCTTTCACTTCATCTGAGCTGCAGTCAGTGGGAGCGTAGGCAGAAACGATAAAAAGGCAACGACGTGTGTCCCTATCCTTCCGAGTTCTTACGTAGCCGTTTAGCTGAACAGCACATAGACGACTGCTGACGAGGATCCAATCTAGCAGTGCTTGTTTGGCCCTCATGCTTAGTGCTATGCCTACACCTGCCAGTCCACGAGAACTGGCCATCGGGTCACCAGATACACAGAGGGCGTATCTCGTTGGCTCTCCGCTTTGACGAGGTGACGTCAAGTGAATGACCACACTGGAATCTTGTATGCGTGTTTCGGAGACACAGCATACATCAATGGTAAGAGACTCTAGGGTTTTAGCCAAGGAAGCCTGCTGACGGATTTGACGTAGTGTTTGTACGTTGAAGGCTCCAATGTGTAGTGTGGAGCGAGGTTTCAGTAGACCTGGGACAGTGTTTTGAACACTAGAATCGTTGGCTATGGTGACACTTAAGGTGGAAGCCGAAAGAAGAAATTTAGAGTTGAAAGTCGATGTAGACGGAATAATAGGAATTAAAGAGGGAGGTTGATTATGAATACAGTGGTCTTGAGTGCTGTTAGAGGTATGAGGGCGGTTATCACTTCCCGGTTGCCCACACCGTGGAAGAGTTCTTCTAGAGGTACCTGAAAAGGAAATTGGATTAGAGGTGGTCTTAGTGACCTGAGAGCGTGACCGCAGAGCCCAAGGGACAACTGCTTGAGGCTGATTGCGCACGGCCTTTTCGTGGGAGCTTTTCGACGTGTTAGCTCCGTACTTGTTGAGACCTTACCGCCGGAGACGGAAATCCGTGAGGTAAGGTGAGGTGTGACATTTTTAGGGTCGACCTTTTCTAACCCCACCCCTCCTTGTGGGAAGGCAGCACCGCTGCAGATGCTGGTTTTCTGAGGGAAACACCTTATTGTTGTCACACCTCTCTACAGTCAGCGGAACGACTTCACCCACAGGCCTTGAGTTGCTGCTTTTAGTCTTACCGTTCTCCAATCAACTTGCCTGGCATGGTAGAACCTACAGGAACATATGTTCCAGCCAATATAGCTCGGTTGGTTCATCACGATAGGCAAGCCCGACCACCACATCAAGGTAGCAACAACGGTCGGGCAGTATAGATGTATTGTCAACAAAAGTTATCTGACAAAAATCAGTGAATAAAACTTTATTGTAGTCTATTTGATCTATGACAAAACATTTGATACATTCAAATCAAAACCGCATTTTTGCTTTGTTTCAACGTTTATGTTGACTAAAACGCTATATTTTTATTAACTTTTAAAATTAATGTGATTTTTTTCTTTATAGACAAATCTACACTCTGACTATCCTGATAGTATTCGTTTGGGAACTGAAGAACAAGAAAATCAAGACAGATGCAGATGTTAAGGTCATTCTTTTATTGTTTCTTTTTCTCATAAACATCATCAACATTATGGTTCCTCATCAGTTGCAAAAATCTAATACTACTACTACTACTCTGTGCGATAATTACATTGTTTCTTCTAATTCACATTTTATAGCTTAATAAATGGAACTTATTGATAATTGGTTATTCACTATCCAAACATTCATTCTTATACATAATTTTATTGTTGAAATATATATAACGAATAGTCAATTCTAATGATTAGTTTTTAACTATGCATATTGTTGTAATTTTTCTCATTTATATGTTTCGATTGTTCAGCATATTATATGTTGAAAAGATTTGTGACAATTGTTTTGTTTTTCAAACTCATTTTACCTTTCTATTTAATATAAAATAGTTTCTATAGAATCCTAATTCTATGATGTTTGTTTTTTTGTTTGGTTTTCATTGTTTAACAATTCTATCATGATTTATACGAAACAAAGATAAGTATTTATTCTTGAATGAATCTATATACCAAATAAATTAAACTTACTGATTTGGCTTGTTATTGATCATCTTTATTGGTTGAAAAAATTCGTTATAAATACTACTGTCATTTTTTAATGTTATTACGTTGTTTTTGTTTTGTTGATTTCATATAATTAACGTGTATATAAAGATCTAATTATATAACCTACTTCATGTAATTATTACATGATTTATAAATCACACTTTCTCTTCTGATTTTTCATTACAATTATTATGTTGCTATTGTTATTTCAGATCAATGTTTAATTGATTTCTTGAATTTTCTAACCTTTACATCTGTACTCTAACTCCTGCTAAATCGCCTCATAGGGTAAGAATAATAAAAGAGTACAGATAAACTAACAGGGAATCTAGGTTTCATTACTAAGGTTTGGCTTGATATTTCAAATAAATTGAGCATCGGGTAGATTGTTATATATATATATATATATATATATATATATATATATATATAAATATTTCAGATTGTGACAGATATCCTATGTCAAAGAATAATCGAGTTTACTTAACACCTTGTTTGCAGAGTCCATTTGGGCTTTTGTTAGATTTCAGGTCCAATGGTTTCATGTAAACGTCATAATTAGCTGCCTAAATATCAAAAGAAAATGAAGCAGTCAGAAAGTTGAAATATGGCCCAAGAACTTTGATATCTCCAAAAAGTTATGATACACTTTAACCAAGGATATAATTTACTAAAATAATTATAATCCACCTAATATTGATAAACTTGAACTAATATCTAACACATTTAGTAAAACGTTTCCTAAAATGTTGATATAAATTAGTGTTTCTTTAAAATTTCAAACAACTTTAGTCCTGTTCGCTTTTTTTATCTTAGCTCTTATTGATTTCATTGGTTATATAAAATCCTGACTAGCTATACTTTTCCCAGCTCTGACCCAAACAGTTCTTAAGTATCTTTCTCACCTGGGCGGGTTTATAGCTAACTTGTCTGGTTCTGGGAGATATCAGAATCTTATGACATCTTAGATTTTTAGTATTTTATACTTTGACTACCTATGTAATGTAATAACAATTGTACTCAAGACAAATTGCCTTTTGTGTGTATTCTAGGCATTTATCTAACTTTCCGTTAATAGCTTAAATATATCCTCTTTCGAAATATACCATGTTTGACAAAAAATTGGAAATTAATTAATTTATTTACCCTGCTAGATGGAGAGGCGCGAGATCAGATCCACTGAATTTCACTCGTACTAGGACTTCCAACCGCCGCATTCGATTTGCAATCATCAACATCATTTCAGTTTCAGTTCCCTTGTTCATAATAGTACTGATAACAATAATAACGTGACATTAATAAACTTAAAATCTGTCAAAACAACGTGTTCGTATGTGAAAACTCATCAACATGCAGAATCATATGATTGAGATAAGAACGTTTCATTAAAAAACAAACTGATTTATTTATCTAATGTTGCAATTAATTGACTCAGTATTGTATTCATAATTCAAAATCACATCTTATTGTGTGTACTAGTCACAGTAAAGTTAAATGGAAACATGTGCTCCCCAACTTTTAGTTTACTTTTAATGTAAGCTGAACTACACACCTACTGACGAAACATTAAAGAAATATTTCGTAAATCTCTGTTTAGTTCCGATATACTGATGGATTTGAATGAATCTTTTTGTCACAAATTAATTTAGATTAATATTTTTAGTATGGGGTTGTGGAGATTATTTCATTGAAATCATGAACCGGTCTATACCTACTATTATTAGTAGTATTGTGTTGGTATTTTTATCACTGATTTACGAACTGTTCCAGTCTAATAAGATAACTGGACGTATCAGGAGAACTTGATTACTTCTGATCATCAGATAATGAAACCGACATTTTAGCAAATTACAACTCACACAATTATTCTGCATAAAAATTTCGAAATGTGTTGACTTTTAAAATTGTTTGGTTACTCATTAAAGTGTACGAAATAGGATTATTTTTTTCGTAATATTTAAATTCTAAATGAAATATTTTTCTTCGCAGCCTAAACTGCTTTTGAAGATATTTTAACCGTCCTATGGATAAACGTTCAATTTGATGAAAAACATTCCTTACATTAGAATGTACCTTTATATAACATAAATCGGTATTAGCGTATATTTTAAGATAAAAGATCTTATGCGCGAAATCGACAATAGCTATCACGTTTCTAGTGTTTTTTAAAAAATATATTTAAGTAGGTAGTGACCTAATTGTTGGAGAGAACTTTTGAGCTCGTAGAATTTCTATCATTCGAATATTTTCACCAGAATGGACTATATCAAAATTGAATCACTTGTATTTATTCTCATTTAAATTTCTCCTGCATTTTTTTGTTCGTTTTTTTACTACAGAATCATGAGCGAATCAACAGTTGAAGGTGGCGTTATAGACGATTTGAGAAAGTTAACTACAATCGATGATAGCTGCCCTAGTTGTCGTGCAGTCGGCTCAATTATCCCTTTAACCCTGTCTGCTTATATAATGTATGCGTGTAAAGATCAAGCCTCCAAGTATGCTGGTGTAAAAAAAGTGTCATATTTGACTCTATGCACTAGTATGTCATTGGGTACGTTCTGTGAATATTTAACCTTTTAATATTCTACCTATTCGAACATATTCCCAATAGATACTTCAGCAGAATAAAACTTTTCGTTTCACATCATTAGCATACCTAAATTCATGATAAATTTCAAATATTACACAAAATAAATGTGATAAATTTTAATTTAAAGTATAAACTCTATCGTTTTTCGTCAATTACTTGAAAAAATTTCCATTTACATAAAATAATATTACAATGGTTAAGTACAAGAACATAAAATACTGAAATCATCTTATTTAGAAGCTGGTACATTAGTTTGATAACTCAGGTTACCGTACATTTATTATAGAAAGAAAAACACTGAATCAACCAAGGAAAATAAAATCCAATTAGCTTAGAGAAGCTAGAAATAAAACTTGTTAACCATTTCTAAAATATTATGATTTTCTTTAGAAGAAGGATTTTAAAGTCCTCAATCATCAATCTCGATACATATCATCTTTAACCATCCACTTATACAATCTCATAGATTCTATGGATTTTCTCATGCTTGCAAGACTTTGTTATTTTTTATTGTCACCATTATTATCCTCTCATTCTACTAACCGTAACCGTTAAACTAATCTTATTAAATATTTATAATCTTAAGCTCATTGAGAAATTACTGGTAATAAGTATTTACATAATTTGTGTATTCAAAAACAATTTGTCCTTACACTTAACCTACCCTATCCAGAGTGGTAATCATATTTCACAAGTTGAAATCATGAGCCAATTGAAGCTAGACCACCATGGAAAACCTGGGAGCACTGGACGGCCGTTTCGTCCGAGTATGGGACTCCTCAGCAGTGCGCATCCACGAACCCGCCCCCCGCGGGATTCGAATGTTTTTGTGTACTTTAATATTTTCTTTTCCTTATCATGGCTTATCTCTAACCTGTTTAGTTGACCTTTTAATTTTCATATAAAAATGTTTTAACAAGTATAGAAGTGTGATCAAATTGTTTGAAATGTATTACGCAAATATATCACATAATTCTGATAAAATTCGTCTTTGTGTTTCCCGATTATCGAAATGGTAATACTTAATAATAATAATAATAATAATAATAATAATAATAATAATAATAATAATAATAATAATAGCAAAATAAGTTTTATTGTCAGGTTATATCTATGAAAATCTCAGCGATCGAAATAAAGTAATTGCAACATTTCACCCGTCAGCTTATTTCCAGCATAATATTTCGAAATAATCAATAATTTATTTAATATAAGTACGGTCAAAACAAATCTTAATAAACAATTATTTATTCAATATTCACACTCTGAATTTAGTAGTTTATAGCGTGTATGTGAGTCATTAGATGTTAAATTTGTTCTAATTTCATCATATGACGCTATGTATATAAGTATATACTATTCTTATCTAAATGCATTAGTTATCTGTAGCCCTCAACTATGAACAAAGTGATATTAGTTATCCTCATCGTCTATAGAACTAAAATTAGATAATATAGAATAAGTGGAATGTGGCTAGTAGTAGAATTCAAAAAGTACGTTCCATTCTCTTCAGGACTTGTCAACTGGATTTACCTGCACCCCGGAGTTGATGTTTACTGTGAGATTTAAGCTCACTACTATTCGCTTCAAAGGTCATTACAGATAGCCAATCATTTGTGTAACGGGTATGAGTTTTAATTCAATTTGAAATAGTTTAGATTATCTCTTTGTTAATATTTGGACTGGATTTTGATCATTCTTGGTTTGATATGTGTGGATCCTATACGAAGTCTTGTGCATCAAGTCCTGGAGTGAATATCAACTCTGAAATGCAGGTACATCCATGTGATGAGACCCAAATAAGGCGAAACACGCATTATGGATTCCACTCCTAGCTACATTCTATCTATTTCATATTGACTTGTGTCATAACGACTATATCGGGACAATCCGCACAAGATACACTTATTCCAAACCAAGAATGATTAAATTTCAGTCAGAATATCAACAAAGGGATAATTAAAACTATTTCAAATTGAATTTAAAACTGGATAGTAGTAAATTGTCCTCAGAATGTATTGATCGGAGGATAAACAATTGTATTCGTCTTATTCATGTTACTCAAAAGTCAAAAGCATCTAGTCATGATAGTTGGATGTATGTTGTTGCTGTTCACATTGCTTGAGGTGTAGATTGATGGAGCAATTGAAGACCCTGTTATACCTCTCTTTTTTATTGACTGGTCAGTAATTACCATGTTTGAGTTCGTTCATATGATAGGACCTTGACTAGCAGCCTTTCTTGTTAAAACTTGGAAACTTTTTCCAAAGCACTTTCATTTCACCGAAACGATTTTCTGTCCAACTTTTGTTAAATCTATTCTTAAGTTTGCTGAGGTTTTATGAGCATATAGGAATGTTTCAAACATTGTTTTCTTTCGTCATTACATCCAGTTGTTTGAGTGTCCCTCCTACATGTAAAACATTACGGTATACTTTATTTCATATGCATAATGTCTTTCTCTTCACATGATACCAAATTCTTAACTATCGTAGTAACTTAGCTTCGTTAATCAATCATTTTGATAACTGTTAGCATATAAATCCCCAACGGTGTTTGAAATCAGAAGGCAGTAAGTAGCGGCGACCACAGTTTATTAACGGATAGCACAATTGACAAAGTTATGAGCACATCGAGCGAATTTGAAGCATAGAGGTTAGTATATGTTTGCGAGACAATACATAGGCAAATTTATAGTGAAATCAAATTAGGCACAGCTAGGCAAGGCAAAGGCTAATTATAGGATTCGAGTACATATATACATGGGGAAGAGAATGAGTCATCGAGAGATATTTAAACTATCAACACTAGCTAGAGTCTGCTATGTGATCAAGCGTACACGTTTATACAGACATGATCATAATAAAACAAGCAGATAGACGAATTGTTACTGTTAGAATAACGTTGTCTATCAAATAAGTTAGTTAAAGGGCTCAACAAAATTACCCACAAACAAAACTGACCGTAGGAGAGTTGCTATACTCTCACTTATGTAGAATTAACAATAACGTTGGTTCTGAAATATAATTTTATATCATATCTTTGAAGTATTTGTTTGCTGTCTGTGTAAATATGGCTCAACCCGTTTGCTACTTTTCTCCTTGCTAAAATAGGCAGTTCTGTTAATCGGATTTCTCGCAACTGTTATATTTGCCTATAAAGTCTGTACTGACTTATAATTTAGATATTTGTGCTTTATGTGTTACTTTCTGGATTGAATTTCGTATTTTGAAAAAAATTTATTCAGTCGTTTTTGTTTAGTTGTAACAAAAGTATTATCCGCTTACTGTAAGTTTTGGTGGAAACGCAAGTTTTATGGTCGGCGTTGTTTTCCATCTAACTAATAATACAAATTTCGATCAGTATCCGATCCTAAACATTTGCATATAATATTTAGGGATCTGTCATTGAACCAAAGCTCAAACCAAGCTACCGAGTCGGACATGGAAGCCACCTACTTTGAATCACTAATATTATTACAAATATTATAAGACATCTAATACCTTTTATATATTCGACTGTGAACCTTTGTGAAAATGCTCTTTCAACTTTTGATAAACCTTTACATATATTATATTATGCCATGTCATCATCTGTCAAAACTACCTTTTGTGTCACCGTTTGGTTGTTTCTATTATCTATAAAAACGTAATATTATCGTTTGTAATCTATAAGAAAATCAATTGTATAAACTAATTTGAATAATAATTCGTTAGATCACTTTTTGTGTAGACTGAGTAATTAAACTCTTACCATGTAAACAGAATTTTAATTATTATTGGTACATGATTATATTTGAAATAAAATCGTGTGGTAAACACAAAAGACTAACATAGTCAGTTGTAAATGAAGGTTAATTTATATTAGTAATATATTACTGATAAACCATCAGATGAACTGAATAGAAATTTTAGCATACGTCTAGTACTGTGCCCCTAATAAACTTTTATTGTTGCCTAAATTAATGTCCTGATGACCTGGCTATGCAACTCTTGACTATACAATTATAAAATTAAACATAACCTGTCTATCATTCGTTAGTATACAGCAAGTAATGAGTTTATCGGCGTATCATTTAATTTTATTATTAGGATGCATTTATCGTTTTATATCAACTAAATTAGTCGATATAGGCATACATTAATCTGAATGATGTGCACTAAACTTGCTAATTCATTTCTTGTACCGAAGATTCTAATCTTTTTTTTCCAACTGTTAACTTTTTCAAATAAGGAGTTCCTATAGAATAGAGTTTTAGAATACACTTATTGATATCACTTAGATTAATTCAACTTTGATGTTTTATCTATTATAATACAATAATAATCATTTTAAGCAAAAATCGATGGTGGCTAGTAGTGGAATCCAGGACGCACGTTTCACCTTATTTGGGTCTCGTCACCTGGATGTACCTGCATCCCAGAATTAATATTCACTCCGGGACTCAAACCCAGTACTGTTCACTTCAAACGGCATCGCGTTATCCACTTAGCTACTGTTTCCCGATAGCCACTTGCTTGTGTAATGTGATGAAGTGTTAGTCCACTGCTAGCCACCATCCATCTTTGCTTATAATGCTTGTGACTTAGGGCAATATCGAGACAGTCCTCACATGATGCATATACGCCAATAAGAGACTAATCAATTGCAGTCCCAAATATCAATGGGAAGACTCAAACAAACGAAACAAAATAAATTAATAATCCTTTTGGATTGATAACTGTTGCGTCTGATAAAGAAGTTATTAAGAACAATCAATCACTTGAATACTGTTTGTTCAATACTTTTTGTTTTAGTTCTCTTTGTTCACATTACCATACTCAGTCTGATTACATTTTCTAAATTATAGATGTTATTCAGTACATTTTTATAATTATTAACCTTTTGTTAGTTTGTATGTCATCTTTTTGTTGAAATTCAGTAACAACTCCATTTTTTCAGGTTTTTACTAAGATTAAAATCTTATACATTTCTATTCGTTTGTTACTGTAAAAACTGAAATCCCGGAAAAATTGATCTGAGCATAATTGATATTGGTTAATAGATAGCTATTCTTTTTTCGAGTTTAATTCATTGACTATACTGGTTTAATCACGTCTTCACTGGTTAGTTGTTCAATCCGTAGTTGAGAACATATCCTGAGTATAACAAAACACGGTTGATTTGATCATATTAGTGAAATTATTCAAACATGATACATGTGAAATACAGAAAATACTTCGATAATAATGTATTGACACTATGCAATCAGTTGAGGTTTTTTCGATACGCATGATACAACAAAATCGATAATTAAAACTACTTGATTTAAATAAGACGGTTTGCAGTAAAAAAAGACAATATTCTATGTACTGATAATCTGACCAATCAACTTGTCTGGATGTAGATAATGAAACTCATCAGTTAACCAATATATCAACAAAAGAATTTTATGAGACATACAAAATAAAATTAATAACATATTATTTAACACCATAAATCTATGAAAATTTGACCTTTAAACTGAAATAAACGGCGATTGAAATAATATGAGACGAAATATACGGGACTTAAAATAATCGGACTACGCATATGATAAAACGTAATAGTCAACAAATAATGATTATCAGAATGGGTTTTGTAGAGATTTTAGTAATTTCAATAGTTGAAATCATGGTTTAATTGAAGCTAGACCACCGTGGGAAACCTGGAAGCACTGGACGGCCGTTTCGTCATAGTATGGGAGTCCTAGTCAGAAGCTGTGACCAGTGGAGTTCAACCAGATCTGTTCTGAGATAGCAGCTTACTGAAGACAACAGTGACAGTGGCGCAATTTCGTGGATTGGTTGAGGTTAGACATTAACACCGTTGGATGCCGGCTCAGTGGTCTAGTGTTTACGCGCTCGCGCGCGAGACCGTTAAGCCCTGGGTTTGAATCTCGCGAGGCGGGATCGTGGATGCGCACTGCTGAAGTGTCCCACAATAGGACGAAACGGCCTTCCAGGTTTTCCATTGAAATAATGATTAGCTTATAAAAACGTATTGGAGGGATAACAATGCAATCATGTTCTGCATGCGATTCTCTCCCTCGAAATGCAAAATGTTGCTTCAGGATTGGGTTGCATCTACACCCGAACTAATGATAGGGAGTGAAGTAGTTGAGCGTGTCGACCGCTTCACTTATCTTGGAAGTCTTATCAGCCCTTGTGGTCTGGTGTGTGACGAAACTCGAACTGATGTACGTACGTACGAAGTTCTACGTTGTTACTGACTGACTGGAGGGATTTATTCAAATGTAAAGTATGAGACAATTATAATTGGTAAAAATCTTTAAAAAATTCCTTTCAATTACGATTATATAGCTTCAATGATGATGTCTTAAAAAAAATCTGTCTCTTCACGGAAGTACTGTCTCCCTTTCTATATCTTTCATTAGAACTTTCAACTTACTGTTCACATAGACCTGAAATATTGTGTGTTTTTCAATATTTTACAATGTTGAAACACGAAATTTATTTAAAATAATGTGGGATATAACAAAAAATATGTTTATTATTAACTTTCTACCTAATGCTCAATTTATTTGAAACTATCAAATTCAACCTTGGCATTGATACCTATAAATATATGTAATAATATATTCAGAATTAACGTAAGTGTTAGTTCATTAGCAAATCTAGTAGACAATTATCGTAAGTGAAAAATTCTGCTTTCATATATCGATTCTTCTGTTATATAATCATTCTGTACTATTTTTGACATATCCTTTTGACTATATTCTTATATGCAATTTTTCTTTTATATATTACCACCATTGAATTAATTACTTCTATGAATTTGATGTTCATCTTTTTGTGCTACTGAGGTATGGCAACTTGGACCGATGCACATATGTGCCTGGTCCTACGTTGTAGCTGACTGACTGATTTTTAAAATTTGCAACTTTTCCTGCAATGTATTCTAAATTTATTTACTTTTATTTATTTGAATATATATATATATATATATATATATATATATATATATATTACTACAATGGGGCACCAGATACATATGCGCCACACAAATCACATTTGATTTGTGTGAGGACTTTGATACTGCCCGGGTGCCCAAACCGAAGCAGGTGGTTTTCTTGGGGGCCACACCCAGAGCCTTCTACCTAAAGGTCTGATCCACAATTTAGTGGAGCATTGTAAGGAGATGCACTCCCATAGTAGTCGGTGATCAACGATTGGTTCATACGCCATTTGTTCCCTCAGGATACTGGAGCCTATGTGCACCACTGGTTTGGAATCAGGGTTTTCCAACTCCTCTAGGTGGGTCCTCCATATCCACCAATACTGTTAAAGCACCGGAAATTCGCTTTTCGTCTTCTCCATTTAGTAGACAACACCCATGCCGTGAGAAGTCAATGAGTAGGACTTCCCTGGCAGAGGCTATATACGCGTGGTTGTGTGAGAGCATTTCGAGAGGGAGAGCGGACTCTCCCCACTCTCGAACGCACTAGGGCCGTTTACATCTTGACTATATAAATTAAATGAATAGAATATTGAATTATAAAATAAATTGTATCATGTTTCTAAAAAAATCATATCTTACGTAACAAGAAATATATTCATACTTCTGAATTTAATTGATTACTTTAACTGTACATTTAATATTTATTTGTTATGTTCTTCGTCGACTGATAGTTCACGTTCACATTGTTGATCGAAATGCTACATATACTCTGTGTTTTGTTATTAATTTTGATGTTCATCAGTTGAATTATTTGGTTCTATGATTAAAATCTATCGAGTAAACTGATACATTTAAAATTAGTTGTAATATGGAAAATAAAATATATAGAACTGATAGCTGTTGCTCTACCCTATCTAAAACAATCAAATTCTAAATATCTTACAACTTAGTAACTCAGTAACGTCATTATACATGACTCAAAATAGAAGCCAATAGGGATCCTGCTGTATTTTTCTGATGCAATCTTCAAAAAAGTCAAATGAACCTGTAGAAGTGAATAAGATTTCCTTTGGTTTTATATTTCTAACTTTTATCTCTTAATAGATATTATTCGTTGACTGTCTGGATTTTCCCTCGTCTATTTCCTTCACAATATTATTCATCCTACTTTTATGTAGCACATTCATATTGTCATCTTATAGTACCAGAAGATTTTAAATGTTATGGATAAATGAATAGTGAAATATTTAAAACTTATGCTAGTCTATGTAGGATAACAGCTAAGAAAAAGAATGGGTTGAGATTTATCGTGTGTTGTCTTAAACATATTAGATGTTTCCCTTCTGAATTAGTGTCTTGTACTTATTGAAGCTCATCAACAAAGCACTTCTGTTGGCTAGAGGTAATTCATATTACATCAAAGATTCCAATTCACTCCACATAGAAGTCTAGTTAAGTATGTACTACATTCAGTAGATACTATAGTCGATTGTTCAATCAGAAAGTGATTTATCGAATCGTTGTATATTCATTCCCTTTATTGTACTTCATTCGAAAATTAAAAAAAATAATAATGTGGTGTTTTTCTACTCATAGGTTTATTGTACCTTGGAGGGAGTCAGTTGTTCTCTCGATGGAATGAAAAACTATCAATGAAAGCCTCATAGATGAATGTATATAACATTTCGTCTTTTGTAATGTTATTTTACTTCGAAAAAAGCGTAGTTTCGTTATTCAACATCATTTTTGTTAAAATTAACCACGTTACGTAATTTTTTTGAATAAGTGTATTCATTATTATCATACGAGGCTTTTGATTAATATAACTGTCACATATATCTAGATGAATATTTGTCAATATTTGAACGCCTAGTGTTATGGTCCATGTCTAGACAGAATGCAGTTTATGTCGTAATAGATCATGCAGAGTAACGTAACTGAGGAGAGTTGATACAGGGAAAATAGAAGAAAAGGTATGCTGACGATCCTTCGAGCGCATAAAATGTATTTACGTCTAATAAGAAAAACCATAGGCAACAATCATTAATAACACAAAACTCAGATTAAGAAAATCTAGAAATCGAAACTAGGAACAGATAATTTATACAAATATTGGTCAATATTTGAACGAATAGTTTGATATAATTTGAGTGTCAAGCATAGACAAGGTATTATTTATGTAAATTATATTTTGATTTATCACAGCCATTGAAATTTAAATTATTCCAACTGATCGTCCAGAAAGCTTGTTTGAACTAAGAACTAAGTAATAAAAAAATCGAAATTATCAAGGACTAAATGAAGTTTTCAAGATGAAAATTTTATCCAATCATCTCATAAGATATGAAATATGTGAAACAGAATGGATGTACTTGCGTATGTGCCTTTATGTTGTGAATAAATAAAATCTCTACCTACCATCATAGTCATGTTAATTGTTTTTGTTTATTATAAATTAACAGTACAAATGAAAAATTTAAATCATCAAAGTTTATGTAGAATGAGAAAATTTAATTGAGTAGTTGTGATGTTTAACATTCAAAAATATTTTCTTTGTTTAAAACAAATTACTAATAATATAAATTGAGTAGATAATAATCAAGTTCGGTTATTCGTTAATTAGCATTTGACAATCGGTAACTAATTGAATTACATCTTATGTGTTTAGGCTGTTTTGATTAGTTTACATTCACAGTGATTCTACAGTTATTTTTTCTTTCTGTATGTCAAACCCTTCCTGTAGTATTTTGACTACTTTAAAGTTGATTTTGTGTCCTGTTGCTAATGGATGAAGTGCTATTGCTGATCTATTCTCAAGCTTATCGAGGTCAACTGGACATCGGAGAACATGTTTCGAATATTGTTCGTGTTTTTTAAACTGTATGTTCAGCTGCCTAGATGTTTCTCCCATATATGCTACATCGCATTCATGACAATTGATCTCATGGACAAGATCTTATTGTTCTTACTTTGGTGACATCTTTAACTTCGATAATCACTAGTCCGCAAACAAACTTTTATTACGAGTATGTCGGTATAGAGATTGTTGAATTTCATTGAAATCATGAACCGATCTAAGTTAGACCACAATTGAAGACACGGAAGCATAGAATAACTCAGTAGTGTGCATCCACGATCCCGCTCGTAGGAATCGGACAAAGGAAGTCTGATCTCGCGCGCGAACGGTTTACGTGTAGACAACTAAGCTGATAAACAACGGTGTTATTATCTGACTTTAATCAGTCCAGGATACTGCGCGACCATCTCCCAATGTCTTCAGTGGGTAACTGCTTCACATCTGACACGGTTTGGCTCCACCGGTCACGGCTTCTCTCTATTAATTCGGAGATTTCCTCTCTATATTAGTCACTAGTGAGCACATGATGATTTTCAATATTGGGTTGTGGAGATTGTTAAATTTCGTTGTATTAAGGCTATTGAGAACTGTCTTAGTTTCTTGCGATGTTTCGGCGAGACTATAATTTATTGACGAACCAATCAGACATAAGATAACGAGTCTTGGGTTTTGGTGCATAACTCACACATGCATATGGTTAAATAGCGTTTTGGCATTATAGTCGATGTCAGTTCGTGATGAAAACCCCAAATTTCATTCCATATCATCAATTGTAAATCATAATTCTAATTCCTCACACTGGTTTATAACCCTCACTTAGTCCTAGTTAGAAGATGAACATTCTCAAGGTCACTCTGGCGTCGCTCAAAGGTCGTCCATAAGTTATAGTTTCATCGATGTTTCTACACAGTGTGTGTTGACAGCAGATTTTTCTGTTGTCGCCGGCTGCTTCTGCACTTGTCTCTATTATCTAGCACCAGCGGTTACAATACCCCCCAATGAAATAATAGCTTTATTCTACGGAATTTCATGCCCGTCTGTTAGATTTCTCAAAGTTAGAGTTCGAATCTGTTCATTAGACTGTGGATGTACGTTGTGTTTCTGAAAAGCTCATGATTATTCCAAGTTTGGATATACTGTTGACATTATGTATGCGGTTTGACAAGAATGCTGAGGTAATATTAAACTCTTTAGTATCTTTTTGCAGTTTGATCTTCTACAACCTAGTCAGGGAAGTGATCATAAAGTCTCGGTGTAGCCTGGTGATATCTTCATTCTCACGTAAAGAAAGCTGCGTAGATGTTGAGATGTAATATTAGACGCAATTTATAGATTTTCACAAGAGTTGGCTGGCTAACGATTACGGTTATCAGATGAATAATCCCAAACACTGACTTATTATTTTATAGGGAGGGACAAACTGATCATCCAATTGCCAATGAGCAATCATTCTAATCTATATATTCTCTAAAGCCGTATGATATGAGAGTATTTTGTGCATTTGCAGTATTGGATATGAGGACGCCAGTAACGTTTGTATTCCAATATGGTACTGGGTTCTTGGTGTTATGTTTTCTTCAATATAGGCGTTTTCAGGTGCCACATTTATTCTTTTTTGCTGCGGTTTTATCCGCTTGCTCTAACAATCACTTTGCGAATGTAGTGTGTTTCCCAAATGCGATGTTGATACTCGATTTTAGGTAGTACTAAGTACACTACTGTATGAAATTTCAGTAGTCTGACCTCGAAAATTCACACAAAATTCCCCCGAAACCTTCAAGTAGTGCCATTAACTGGATGTTCTTTCCTTTATGCATCGAGGATTTGTTGCCTTCAGTGAATACGTTTGCCCCTAAACTGGTTTTTAAAGTGAAAATTATTGTTAGTTTTTCGTGGTTTGTTTGTAACTCACCGCTTTGAGAACTTACGCACTGGATTACTAGGTGGAGCATATTCTGTATGAGCAACAGAGTAGCATCATTCAGAATCTCATACTAGGTGTGATTTATCTCCCCTAACGAAGATTCGCACAAGGTTTTCAGATTGAAATAGTCATATTTTATTTCCGTATGTCAAAATACGATTTAGTAAATATCCATTTTTCCAATTATGAAAATTGAATTGGTCAGGTATACACCTCAAATATAAGTGCTGACTAAGAATATCCTTGAGAAGTTTGTGTTGTGATCGATAACCAGCTAAAAATAGTCTGGTATTACTACAAAGGATTCTTGATGCAAACACCTGCATAAACACAGGAATATATCAACAATGTAAAAAATCATTCATGTTAACAACATGATCCATTTATTTTATTGAGCATTCTAGATGTGTAAATTCTATTTTTCAGTATGTACTCTGAGTTTAGTCAATTGGACATATTGGTTAGTCTTGAGTTAATTAAAGTGTGAAGCGTTTACAAAAAGGGATATTTTACTGTTAATTGATCATCCGCACTTTGTTAAAAGATTGCTGAGTCGGAAGAATACACAGATCCACTGCCCGTTCCAGAAAATGAATTAACTTTTATAAATTTTGTAACACAACTTTCAGAATATATGCATAGCTCTTGTTTATTTACAGGCGAAATTTACTAATTTATCAAAAACCTCTTGGTCATAATCAGCTACAAGAGTTTATCCTTTTATATAAAATCCTATTTATTAATCACAAATTCTGTTCCCATTTAGCTATTGGAATCAATCATACTATAGTGTAGTAAATTGCGTTACATTCTTCGAAAAACATTTTGTTTGTTTAGTTGACGTGCAACCAAAAACGTTTTAAGTTTTGTCGATTCAATATGAGATTTAACGTTTTAAGCTGATTCCCCTATGCGGTAAGATAATTAATACTATTTTATGAAATCAGCTAAACTGCTTGGTGTGGTGGTGAATGAAGATGACTATCGAACAGACCCAGTTGATACAATTAGCAGTTCGGAAGATATTCTCAAGAAATTATGCTGTTGAGAGTAAAGTGGTTTTTATAATCTTATAGTACGTCACTTACTAGTCATGGACACGAAGTGAAAGTAAGAAAAAACTAAGGATAACCGATAAAGAACCTAACTCTGTCTTATTAAAATACGCTGAATATAAGGCTTAAACCTTACCTCTGTATTACTGAAGAGTCAATGGTTAGCCTTCCGCTGCCTTGTCAACAGAAAACTAAACGCTTTAACATTGAATTTCATTTTCATTGTTCATTTAACCAGTATTACAGCCTAGAAAGTTGAACTTACATTTTTTCGAAACCTCCTAGATTACACTCTAATCATGTGGAACAATAGTATCAATAAACAAGAGTCATTGAAGTGTCAGTATCGTTCATTCAGCAATTAGATTCACTTATGGAAAAAATGATACAAGCATATTTTTCTTTGAAATTCTTTCCAGAAGGTTGAACAGTTTCAAATAAGGAACTTATTCAGAATGAATACACGGACTAGTCAGTGTACGCGTCTCGACAGTTTTACGCCTCTTCGGTACAAAATAAATTTGATTAGATATTTCACTTTCGAAAAGTAACTAGAAGGTGATTTTTATTTATATGAGATTCAAATGTGAATAGAAAGCATCCGGAATTTATTTTTAAGGTTCATCATAGACACAAATTTGATCAACCAAATATCAATGGTCTCAATCTTTAGCCTAATTTTAGCTGCTTTAAGCTAACTTCTAAAGTTGATTATTCAAAAGTGAATCTATATTTCAGTTAAATCATTGATACCTTTTAATTGTCTGGGGAAGAACTGTTACGACGACTAAACAATGTTCACTACACTAACTTACTAGTGAAGGATGTAGCGGTGAACTACATTTCGTTAAACATGCAAAAAGAACGTTTCATTCAATAAAAATGTGTACAAAAATAATTCATGTCTTTCTACGGTACAATATGTTTTTTTTAATAGAATAAATAATGTACAAAACATTTCAGTGATTTACATTTTTCCATATTATTTGCGGCTATTTGCTATAGACTTAAACATTTTATTAAAAAGTATCGTGTTAGATTGAACCGCATGTTGCTAAGCTACTCAACTTTCCGAAGATGTGAGAGTATGACTTCTAGTTCGTGAATTTCAACTGTATTTGTGTAACATGGGAACATGCAAGATATTCAAAGTGGAAAAGATGTTCTTTATGAATAATCAACGGCCCTATTCCGTTATAGTGAGTTGGTAGGCTAGTGCATCAATATGTCATTCAGAATTTATATTGGTCGAATATAGACGTATTTATTGAAATAGTTCGGTGTGCTGATATGTTAGAGATACCTGTCATGTTTTAT